TGGCAAATGGTTACAGGGTTCGTGGCAATCCCGAATGCATTTATGAGAGCCTGGCCGTGCACCAAAATGCCTGATAAGTCTACTGGCAGGCACTGAAACTATTTCGGCCATGGCTTTGGTGACCTGACCATGTTAGCGGGTAAAAAAAAAACACCAATTCATCTTTTGGATGACTTCGTGGTTTTTAGGTAGTCTGTGAAATCGGACATTGACCGTATTAAAACAGCGACCTTTTGCTAAGTTCTACTTGGATTGCGTCGTACACAGGGTCCACTGCAACGTCACTTTCAACAGAACCGCAAGTACTGTTAAACCTGGATATAATTAAATTAACAAATTCCTGGAAAAATAAGTTATAAAGAGGATTTTTAAATGCAGGTTCGGTACTAAAATTTGAAAATAAACACACAAATTAAAAAAGGGGAACTGAGGGCAGAGTTCACCCAAAACTTACTTAGCAATAAAAAACTGCGTTATTATTGCATTAGCAATTATAAAATTACTCTCAACAGGTGTTTCCCATTGCTGCCAAGTTCCGCAACAACCCCAATTGATAACATGCCCCAGCGCATGGTAACATTTATGAGCAGGTAAAAGCGCATGAGCTCTGCTGAAGAAAATCAAATGAGCCGGCCCATCTCCATTGCCTGGAGGGCGTGCATACGATGCAAAACACAATTTTTTTTAAATTTTAATTACAAATTTCATTGCTTTTAGTTACATGCAGACAATGACCGTCATTGTGTTTTAATTCGGGAAGTAGTTGTTCAATTTTCGATTAGCTTACAGCGTTGCTTTACTTAGAATTTCTAATATCCATATATGCATTAATGACTATGCAATTTTATGTGCATAAATTTTATAGTTGAAGCAAACAATACAATGTCATTACTATTATCTCAAAAAATAATTGACCTGCAAAAAAAATTGGATAGTTAAAATAAGCTAAAAAAACTGAACAAAGCTGTGCAGTTTCACTTATTTTATTCAAGAAATAACCCACATTATCTTCAAAGTGGTCATGATGCCCAATTTTCAATTATATCTGTGTGCGGGTCGATTCTTGTACATTCAAGACAAGCTGGCAAAATATGAGCAAATTTAGTTGAGCCGTTATTTTTAATAAAATATCTTTATAATCGAGCGAGCAGCCTGAGAGTCGGGCAACACTGGCGCAATCGCTAGCCATGATGTCACGAACCGCTTGATGGGACAGCTGCTGCACGGTCTGCATTCCGGAGGACGATCGTGTTCGTGGTCATCTGTGCTTGCAATTAATCTTTTTCTGCAGTGTTCAATTAGCCACTGGAACTAATGACTTCCAGGGGTTGAAACGATGCCACCACGCCACCCATGTAGTGCTGGTGCTTACAGCAAGCAATTTTCAAGGTTAAAAAGTGTCCTGCGAATGCGCAACGCGACGTATATGCTGTTTGCCACTACAAATAAATATTTATTGAAACTCCTCATAGGCAGTGCCATAATTGAGCGTCACACTTGTTATATTTTTTTTACCGTAACTGAATGAAATAGACAGAGTTCAAGTGAAGATTCGACCAAAATGTATATTGTAACACTAGCGCTGCACTGACATGCCGTTCGTTTCGGCTTATGTTTACATGAGTCGCACGCAACAACCGATAGAAAAACAACGGTTCAAACGCGCAGCATTGCTACAACCACTTATTTATTATGCTCAGCACTGAAAGTCGTGCATGCACGTATGCTAGCCAACAAAAATCTGCATGCTTTTCCATTTCCACGGCGTTAAGTAGCACTTGCTTGTGAATGCAGCGTCGAGAGGCCCCCGTATCTTAAGCTTGCTTTTCAAACTGACACGTTTGAAATAAAGCTACTTATCATTGCGGAAAGCCGTCTGCAATGCCTGCCACAACGAGGTCGTTGGCATCTTGGTTCACACCATCTTCGACGCTTTTTTTCGTCGCTTGGCTGTGAATAAAGCTACTTATCATTGCGGAAAGCCGTCAACAATGCCTGCCACAACGAGGTCGTTGGCATCTTGGTTCACACCATCTTCGACGCTTTTTTTCGTCGCTTGGCTGGTGGCTATGAAGACGAATCCAAAATGCGCAACGTACACGACATGGTCGCTACATATGGTGATGGTATACCGGTAACACACCCCAACACTCGCAACCCACTTGCACGTGCAGACCTCGCGGCAAGCAACACTCGCAACACTGACCGTGTGCGGAAGGTGCTGTTTGATAGCAGACGACGACACTGCTTCTTTGGCTTGTGACGCCACGCATGTCATGACAAAATGGCGGTCGCCGGCGGTGGGCAAAGTTTACAGCAGATGATTTTTACGGCTTATTTTGGACTGAAATAATCTCTTACAGTCCTGTTTTCACATGTGTTCAAGCATACCTGACCCTCTACCTTCGTTTTTTGCCGAAAGCCGTCAATCGTTGGGTTACCATATCATGACACCTTCAAAACCCATGTCCCCCCTTAAGATGGTAGGCCACTCAAAAACAAAAAAATTTTTTAAGGGCAGGCAGCATTGAAATAACTTTTTCCTAAAAACCAGCATGTCTTATTTAATTTACCCAGCTTTTACATTGCAAAATATTGAATATTTATTTATTGGGAGGTAATCTTCGTCAAAAATTGCATTAAAAGTGCTAGCCACGCCAGCTGTGATAAGTGACTAATGGGTGGCTTTATTCAGTAGAGCTTTGACATTTGTGTAACTAATGGCTGGAACTATGCAGTGAACTATAATAAATATTATGCAGTGAATATCATGGAAGTAATGCTAAAAAAACAAAAAAAACGGGGCAAAAGAGCCAATTTAGACTGAACCTGTTGAAGAATTCAACTGTGAACTGAAAAATATTCAACGGATTTCTTTTATTCTAGTTTACTGCACAGATATATATGTTGTAAATCATTGTGCAACATTTCAGTTCAAAGTACACGCTGAGAAATACGTCATGAAAGTTTGCGTCGCAACATTTGGAGCAAATTGTTATTTTCGAAAAAAACGTAAACAAAGATTTCTGAGCTTGTAAAAAGGGTCACAATCTTCGCATGCAGGCCTAAAATGCACCAGATTCATAGCTGGGCCCTTCTGTGGAAGCATTATTGTCTCCTTTTGTACGGGTGGCTGCTCGTCTTTTTTTACTGGCCTGTTTTGTCCCATTCGCTGACTTGTGTTTAGCATTCTGCATGCGCAGGTGATCCCTGGCGATGCAAGCTTTCGTCGTGTGGTACAGTGGTTTTATGCCATTATGCCAGCTTTCCTCAGGATATCTAGGGTGCTTACACTGCCATTATTAAAGTGTGCCACAGCATCATGCAAGGCAAACATTACTGTAGGCAAGCTTACTAGACCTCTTTGGGTGCCCGCTGCCATATTAGACCATTGAAACACTCATTAGCATTTTGAGTCTTTCCATGAAGGCACTTCATTAGAAGTTCATCAGAGCACAGATCACTGTAGACAGTTTTAACTTTGTTGAGCACATCATTTGAAAGTCCTCCTTTGCGTACATATTTCCCTTGGCCGAGTGCTTCGACCCTTTGGTATCCGCACCAGCTTTTCGGTCCAAGTGGACACAGGCCATGTCTCGGCTGCTTGTCGGTAAAGCTGCAATGAAAAAGACTGGCAAGGATAGCCTTTTTCATTGCAGAAAGGTTCCCCACATTAGCCATTATGGGGATGCCATAGTAGTTTTGCAGGCGGTCAATGAGGGCATCAGTGAGCTTTCCCTCATCACCAAGTCCACGCACTGTCTTCTTCAGTGCGTGGACTTTTAAACACAAAGTTGTATTTAATGACATCATCTTATATAACAGTCACAATAAAATGCATTAAGTATTTTGAATAGCATTAATATAGACGAAACTTGCTTTTGAAAACGATTTTCGAAACCGAGACCACAGTTGGAAGTGTGGTTTCGGTTTTGCTGTAGGAGCATAGGGTATAGAAAACTTGCTGTAACTCGAAAACTAATGACGCTAGGAGGATAATTTTTGTTGCAACATATATGTGAATGTTTGGGCGTGCAAGAAAAACAAAACCCTAAAAATTTATTTTGCAAAAAAAAAAAAAAAGACTTTTGAAGGTGGCCTACCACCTTAAAGGGCCCAGGTGCCATGTACTGCCCTACACTTGCTCGATCAAGCAATTTTGCCGAAAACAGATGACCACCACATAGCTTGAGAGCGATTTTTGCGGAGAGCAGCGCGTGCCGACTCATTTGTTGCCTGCACCTCAAATACGGCATCGGTGCGCTTTGGGGACCAGTTTCGGCAGCCGCTTTTCACACCCCTCATTTTAGCCACCCTATCCATGGTGCGAGTCAAGGCTTCCTCACTTGAGGCCAACTGAAAAGTGCTGAAGACGGCTGCACCGTAGTCATATGCGAAGACAGACATGAACACAGAAACGCTTCGTGCCTCTTGGTTTTTTGTTAGCCTTTATTGCATTTACAGTGGTGATCCTCCCCATTTACGATTTGTAGCAATTTTTGGAGCAGGATAGAGTTTGTTTTGGAGCAGATTTGGAGCAGACAAAATGGAATTTAGGCTCACTTGGTGCAAGACATGTCTCAATTTTCGGTGAATATTCTTACTAGTGTTCAAACTAGAAATGCTCCAGCAATGTAAACAAGGAGACAAGGCAGACATCCAGACAGCAGCCAATAGTTAGGTTCTTAGCACCCACATTCTGGATGTGCAAAAGTGAAGCGTTAGTGACAAGAACGGTTAGATGTGTTCATGACAAAGTAAGCATGGTGCATACTGTTTATGCGATATAACAGGTGTCATAAGGTCATTCTGAAAAATAAAACCTAATCAGAAATCAAAATCAGTTTAATTTTGACGTTTTTGTGATTTATTCACGTTTTTAAGTTGAGTATCTAATTAAGGTACATAGAAATATTAAACATAAGTAGGAACCTTCACTCAAGTTAGAATTAGCATAAATATGAAGTCTGTAAACAAAATACTGTCTATGTAAGCCTCACCTGGACAGCAGAGTGTGTGGCAGCTGAATGTTTTCAATTATAGTCTTGTTAGAGTTCCACTGAGATTCCACTGGATTCGCAGCGGCCAGAATTGACGTCCGTGCATTCAGCTGACATATTATTCCAGCCTTAGCAATTGACAAAGTTTGTTGTTCCTGTCAAAAAGGTTAGTAAAAAATGAGCACAGCTTGCATTAAATTGCGCAAGGCCGTGTCACACCAGAGCTGGTGGGCACGTTTCAGCTTCTCTAGTTCACCATCTATACAGAATGCTTGGGCCGTCATTGTACACATGCCACTTCAAAATGATAACTTTCTGTCTACAACACTAGGCTAGACTCGACTGTCCCCGAATTCATGTCTAATTATAAAATTCATGAAGATAAAATTAACAAATAGCTCTTGGTTTGCTTGTGTCCAACTCTCAGTTTTAACTGTCTCGTTACCATCAGCCACTTCACATTTACGCACAATATTTCATATTTGTGATTAAATGAAGCTTTTTCCAATGCATGCATGAGAGAGCAAGCTGCGTAAATATTCCGCAGTTTTTTTTTTTTTTTTTTCACAACAGACAAGAAAATTTTTTTAAATGTTGTTCGGGCTTTCAGTACAACCTAGGACAATAAAGTAAATGATGTGCATCATGGAGATGCATGGGCTACTGTTTTATGGGCAGTTAACAAAATAGGGTATTTAATTATTAACTGGCCCTTTACCCCTGAAATACTCTCTGTGTAACAATGCTGCCGTAACTGAAGGTTTTACATCGCATTTGAAAAAATCTTTGATATGTAACGTTTGCTTTAGTCTAGAAGCAGGTCGGAGGCCCTAGAATATATATGCTGCGACTCTGAATTCTCAGCAAAATTTCGCAGGCCTTTGTCACGTGCTGAATTGTTGACTAATCGTGACCACAATACTAGTATATTTAAAAAAAGTGCTGTGCATGACTTCTAGAAGTTAAGGCAAACAGTGTCACCTATTTTTGGAAAAAAAAAAAAAAGAGCAAAATAGTGGTCAGTTCAACTACATACTGTATTTACTCACATAATTTGCGCAGTTTTTGTAGAGATTTGGGGGCCCCGAGAAGGGGGTTTGCTAGCTACGCGGGATTTCACTAGTGCATAGGAATATTGTGTCACAGTCCTAACACGCAAAGTATGTAAATTTAAAAAAATAAATAAATTGGAGCACCAACGAAGTGTAGTTGTTAATTTCGGAAGAATCAGCACATACTTTAACCAGTCAGATATAGTCACGCGCAGTCTAGCGGGAATCACTGATCGCAAAGCCGGTTGGTAATCATCGTCGTGGCCGCTGCCACCACCCTCCCGAAATGCATCGTCCTCGGTTACGTCAAGGGCATTCGAACACCCCATTTTCTTGAATCTCTTTTGACAATGCTGGATGAAACTAGATCCCACGACAAGGCGACGGAAGAACAAAGCATCCGCACACAATTGAAAAGGCGTCCTTTAGTGGCAGAAAACTTGCATTAGCAACAACCACTCTTCAGTTTTCTCGCGTACCTATCGCGCTGGTCATCACGTTGAAGTACGTCCCCTTGAAGTGCTTTGCGGCGGCACGCTTCCCGTTTTCTTCAGTGAAATTTACAACAGTGAACTTCAATTTCGCTGTATATATAATTATTATAGCACATCGCAAAGGAACCATCAAAACACATCGGCCGGATGGTGAAACCTAAACTTCCGAAATTGACCAAGCATGCATTCCAGCGTGGACGCAGAGAACGAGAACACTTAGCACGACAGGCTCTCGCACACCTCCGATGCAGAAAGTTGTCCATGCCTTGACGTGAGCGTGCATTATCACCATTATTGCGGTTGTAGAGATTGGGAGAGGCAACACTCGAGCAGTTCAGGCGACCCGTCAACAGGTTTGTGTTTGGGTGCGGTATTCTAGGGACCCCAGTTCGGGGGAAGTCCTCGAAAGAAGGGACTTCGTATTCGCAGCATCTGCTCCGGGAACGCTAAATATGCGAGTAAATATTTTTTTTTTTTAAACGTGGCAAAATATTAAGGGTGCGCAAATTATGCGAAGACACAAATTATGCATGTAAATACGCATCCTGCTCACAGTAAATAACGCAATAAAGTACAATGTTGAGTCCTAAAGAAAACCTGTAAGTGTAGCAAACATGCAGTTTCTCTAACATCAAAACAGTTGGAAACCAGTACATTTACCCAATTAAATAATGCTATGAGCCACAGAATGAAATAACAGCAGTCTTAGAAAGCTTGATCTATGCTGTATGGGGTTGTTCCATTGCTTGACAACAGTGCATACCGTGCTAGCCCATTCAGCAGGGAAAATTAACCTCTAAAATTAGCACTGAATTGGTTCTATAGTCGTGTACAGCTTTATAAGGCAACAGGAGCCACAACGATGGATGCGCACAATACTACCCCAATGTGTGGCTCTACATAGGTGTCATGAGCTGGACGAATGGTATCCCATTGCCAGACAGCTGCAAACATGAGCGTGACTATATCTTTAATTGCGGAGGCAATCGAATGCTATGCTTCATTCACCTGGGCTGTGCCTCTGTTGTCTTCTTAAGTTACACCCCACTAGTACGACATATGAGTAGACTGCTGGAAGAAATCTTGTGCATGTAAAATTAATATTTTTTTTCTCAAAGACCACAAAAATGTCTTGGTGCATGCTAAGCACAAGTTATGAGATTTTAGCCGCAATGTAGCAGGTTTCACTCATTGGCAAAGTTCGGCGCAATTGGAGCGGCTATCAAATCATTGTAACAGCCCTGGTGTAAAATTCGTATAGTACATACGTGCCACAGAAATTGGGCTAATCCTACAGTTTAGTTTCTTTCGTTAACCATCTGCACAGAACACTTGGCCTGCCACTGAGTGCACTGGTTCATGAAGATGATATTTTTCTATCTACCACGCATGGCAAACATAGACTATAACAGCTCAACTGTAAAACTAATGTTCTCCCCCATTTCTTGACAATGTGATCATTTAAAAAAATAGGAAATCGTGAAACTCACCATTACTTCATGAAGAATTGACCTTGTTGAGTCACTCATCTTGTCAAACTCGTCAATGCAACAGATTCCATTGTCGCTCAACACCAAGGCACCCCTATGGCAAGCAACATACAACATTACAGCACACACTAATTTTTTTAGTCTTACTAAGAGCAATTTTATTACAAAAGATAATGTTCCACAATCATTAAAACAGGCTCATATTCCAAGAAGGATAAATTACATTTGAAGATTATACCATTCAAAATTAGAAATGTGGCATGTTCTAAATTGAGACTGCAAAAACTACAAAAAAAGTATCAGATTCGTTAATACAGACACTGGTTGCTGACAAACAGCCCAACAGAAAGACCGTCTTGGTGGGGGAAAAAAACCAAAAAGAACAAAACCAAGAACAAGGGCGGGAGGGGGGGGGGGGGGGGGCTCAAGCATTGGAGAGCTCTTGCTGTGCAGACCTTGAATTGCCGCAACCGTGGACATGAATGTCACTTAGTTTATTTTTTAATACAAAACAATAATTGCCATTATAAAATGTCCATTTTCGTAAAGAGTGAGGACCACTGCCAAAACTGCAGCATGAGAGAGAGCTACGACTAAAGCTAAGTTACACTCTGAGCCTATGCCTGGCCATAGCTTCGCTGCATTAACAACTACTACACAGTGTCACGCATTTTTGCAGGTCAAGGCCAGATGTGACGGCTGTGCCTGTGCTTGTTTTCCACAATTCCTTAACTTACTGGCTCAACATGACATGTTCAGGTAGCCTGCTAATTTCAGCTTGTCAACCTGTGATGAAAATCTTCGTTCAACAGAGTGCTCTCATAAGCACATAAGAATGGCATACAAACATGCCATTGAGATGCCTCATTTGAAGAGTTTGCAGTGTGCAGAAGGAAATAGAAGAAGCCCTGTCTTTGAATAATGTACATAGCTCCAGCATGCGTGGTGAGTCTTCAAAACAATTTCAATAGCTAAAAATCTTTCAACATTCATCGACTGTCCCTTACATTACTCATTAAAACATCCTTCAATAGTTCCCTGAAAGCATGTACAAATGGCTTAGTGGCTAAATTGATGCAAAAAGGATCAAGTATGAAGGCTATACTTTTGACCCTTGTGCAATGATGATAGTGTATTGCACAAACATAGTTTCTTACCTAACTCATCCCTACAGGCAGTACACAAACCAGCTTTACACACACACACACACACACACCACACACACACACACACACACACACACACATATGCGGTAGAAAAAAAAACGACGAACGTACAAAATGCAGTTTTCGCAGAATAAACTTCGCGAGGAGACTGTGCGAAAAGTGTTCCTCCAGCTGGAGTGTCCATATTATCTTACACCAGCATTTTGCAGATCTACGCGAGATCGAATCTTAACAAATTAACTGCCAGCATCATTAAATATAACATTTCAATTTGTTCATTTGCATTCATTCTCCCCCCTAGCAGTGAAAGTGTGGCTTTTGTAGCTATGTACAGCCGCCCATTTCCTTTTAACCTGAACGTGCGAGTGTCAACCGGTGAGTTGATAAGTGCCGTATTACCGAGCAAAGCGGCAACATAAACAAGAATATGCGCAAACGAACCGCCGAACGTGCGAAGGCTGGTTTCATTGCAAAAAAAAAAAAAGAAAGAAAGAACAACGAAGTAACACTGTGGAACGGCCGCCGACCGAAACACCGAACCAACGCCTCCTCTATTTAGATGCCTGCCGCATGAGAACGAAAACAGCTGCCACACCCTTTCTCTCCATTTATTATTGTTGGTCACTGGCGCCATTTGTGACACACACAGCAAACACTCGACATTTTGCATAGTCTCTGAAATGGTCGTGTATAGTTGCAGATCTTGAATAACTCTCAACTGACGTGCCCCTATGGGTCACAAGTAAAAAACGCCATGACGATAGTGTCGGTCGCGAGTGCCACCGCGCGGCACTTGCTCAAAACTGAAAACACGGCGACTCTGCTGGCAACACGAGCCATTCGTCAGGCATCTTAATAAAGCAAGCGTTAACCGAACGAACATGGAGCTAAGCCTAAATGCTCGTGTAGCCCAGAGCCGGCACGCAGCGATGCCTCTTAAAGCGCTCGTTGCGAGTTTCGATTACAAATGAAACAGTGACAAATCACCACTCATGAAAACTGTGCCACGTGATCGCCGACGAATCATAAGTCGCGAATAAGGCGCCGAGATGCCCGTTTATATAATTAAAATGGTTGAATGCGCGTTCGGTCACCACGGCTTCGCAAATAACCACGTCTTTCTCTCTACTGCAAACACCGACGTGCGGATTTCGCGTACGATGGCTTTTTTAAATGCAATGAGAACTCGCTTGACTAAATAACTAGTCGCTAATGGGCGTAAGCCGAGAATGGGTTGCACGCATTCTGTCGCTCACGGAAACCATTTTGATAACTGATGTGCACGCGCCAGAGCGTCCAGAAGACGCATTGCATGCAGGGAAATGACTCCATGTTTGATGCTACTCACTCACGGCAAACGCGCACGCGTAGGGGGCCGCATGCAGCAGCGTCGACATGAAAACCGCAGCGACCAGAGGAACGCGCTACGCACAACAAAGAATCTGAGAGTCAACTCCGCTACGATCACAACAGCACATTTTTGCGGGGTCACACATATTTACAACAGTTTAGAGGAGCTTATGGCAGCACCTTGCATGGGAGCCTTTGACACCAGAAGGTGCCAAGTAAAAAAAAAAAAAAAACACAATTGGGCGCGTCTTACTAGTCAACTCCGCCTTTTTTCCCCACTGAAGCTGAGCTACGCATCAAAATTCTAGCTTTCGAGGCTGTTTTGGAGCAGTTCGGTGCAATTTTCGTAATTTTATGCTTTTAGAGCAGCTTGGCACAAGAAAACGGAAATGTATGAAAAATGCGCAATATGCACAGCTCTCTCACCCATTTCATGCGCATTGCATTTTTGTTGGCAACTGAAGTGCAACCAGTGATGTGCAGCTGTTATTATGAACGCTCACATAAAAGAAAAATTCTCTTGCACACTGAGGATGGCCGCATCATGTCTTTTTGTGTGCTGGAAGAGATGTTAAGCTGCATGTCGACCAGGAATACCTCCATGGGCCAAAAAGTATTAACATTCAGATACGATGAGCTTGCCAACTAGCTGAAGCTGTTTCATGTAGATAAGAGCTTGTCTTGGTAACGGCCCTGGATATACACACAGTGAAGTCTCGATCACAGAAATATATGAACAGTTAGAAACTAAATTTTTCATTAAAAAAAGGTATGCTGTACCAGTCTCACTCTAAATAATGTGACCTAGGGGCATGTCCGTTTTTATTTTTTGCACCCGTATTTAATCAGTGTAATATGAATTCAAGAAAAAAAAAGAAAAAAGCTTGTTTTTGTCAGACATTATTGAGCGTCACAATACGTGAAATTGACATAACATTGCACACAACATTGTGTTATATGTATAACTGAAGCTGTTTTTTTTTCAATACATTAGTTCAATGAAGGTTTTGTTGGAACCAAACTGATTTGTCATAAATACGGGTCATTGCAAAACGAGAGGCCGTATACTCTAGGTTCTACTGTAGGCCCTACATTACTCTTTTTTCTTTCATTAAAATTTACCATGCTTTATGATCGCACCCCTAAACTTGCGCGCATTTTTCTGAAAAAAAAAAAAGTGCAATCATTATGTGAAAAAATCGCATTTTTATGAGACTGCAAACATAAAAAAATGTTTCATAAGCAAAGCAAGAAACACATACGTTTGTAAGACCAGCTGCTTAGTCTCTGGGTCTTTGGTGACGTAAGCAGTCAGACCTACAGCACTGGAGCCCTTTCCTGATGTGTACTGGCCACGGGGCACCAAGTTGTACACATACTGCAACAGCTGTGATTTGCTTGTTCCTGGGTCACCACAAGGAGGATGTTTATTTCAGACCTGTAGGAAAGACAAGCATAAAACCGAACTCTGATTATGAATATAATTAATCATGATATAATGAACAGTATGAATTTTCAGGAGACTAGAGAAAACAAAAAAAGGGCATGCATACCTATATTGAAGAGCACATACAGCTAGGTAGTCAAAATCAATCAGACAATGCAAACTTGCAGTGATAGAGCCATGCCTGCTGCACCAGACAGCTTTGAAGGATGCCCACCTTCACAGAGCGGAATGGCTCTGGACTTTCATAGTTGGAATATCAATTACCCCTGTTAGCTATACGACCCATTCTACTGTCTTCCAATCTCTAGACACTTTCCCATCATTTTGATCTCAATTGGACGCTGCATGGTATTACACATATTTCAAGAATTTTTGTTTTCCTCGAAGTTTCAGCGTGACTTGACAGTATAGTATTAAAACGTAGTAAATTGCTAGCCATGGTTTGCATTTGTCTCCTTAATCTTTGGCAAATTTCCTTTTCATAAGTAGGCTGGCCTGTAAGTAATTCACCTAGATATACAGTCAGCCTCTTTCTAGTATAACGAACTCTCACTAATCCAGATGTGTGGCCAAGCAGATAACTGAACATGCTTACTGTGATACGGTTGTCAGCAATAAGTCATACAAGCATGTTCGTAGGGATGCTTATCTCCAAAGGATACCACGATTGAAGCAGAATTGTTGAGTGACCGGTCTCTGCACTTGCCAGAATGACAGACCTTTTGCAGCACATCGCGTCATCGGCTAGTTGAGGAGTGCCTTCAACCTTTCTGTGCCAAGAAGTTATCGCAGTTACTGCTTCTTGGGTTGCAAGGCATTGGCTGGTTTGTTGTTGGCAGTGATGCTACTGGCTTAGGCTGCTTTAGAGCAGCTTTTGAAGCAGACAAAAATGCATTTAGGAGCAGATATTGCTAGAGTCAATATTAAGACACCTATTGTGTTCACGAAGAAATCCATCAACAGGGGTTGTGTCGAGCTGACGCTCCGACAAGCGGTCATGTCTTCCTCAGAACAAAACTGTTCTGTTCTAGCCTCGAGAAAAACAAATCCGCTTGTCGAAACGTCGGCCCGACAACCCCTGTTCACGATAGTTTTTATCCACCTCTTCCCGACGTTTTTTAAATACTGTGTTAACGAAACACGAATGATAAAATGACAATGTACTGCACGCTATTCAAGCATAATATAGTAAAATGGATGGATGGATGAAAAACTTTTATTGGGGTCCTGAAGGATTCCACCCCCGTTTTATAGGGGTAGGATCGCGGGCCGCTCCCACGTTGGGACGGGGACGCGCAGCCTCACCGCCGCATCGTGGGCCTTCTGGACAGCCTTTAGTTGTTGTACGAGAACCGGACTCGTGAGCATTAAATGAAAGGAGTTCTGAGAAAATTCTTCATTTTTCTTTGTAAAGAGGGGCACCTCCAGAGTATGTTAAGAAAAAAATTATATCACCGACACATAACCTGACAACATTTAATAGACAAAGCCAATGACGAACTTTAAAACCATAGCACTTCATTATAGCGTGACCAAAGATCAGTTGACTCCCGATTTTTCAGAAGCCAAATTTTTCAGACATTCTTGAAAATTCACATGATTTCACGACAGCATCACAAACCCTATCGACGTCTATGGATAAGAACATCTGAAAATTTGCTAGACTGAAACTCTTCGGCGTCAGATTTTTTGGGCTTTCAGCCGACATTCCAAGTATGAAAAGCATTACTTAAAGTCCCCACCTTTGCTATGTCTTTGACCTCGTAGGCTTAAACGAACACTTTCAAGAGCCGTTCGGTGTCACAGTAATGTCCAAAAGTCGGCTTTGCCGCAATTCAAATGTGCTATGGGGTGAAAAAGAAAGTTCAAGGGCTCGTTCT